GAGAGAGAGAGAGAGAGAGAGAGAGAGAAAGCCAGGCCGACTTGCAGAAAGCCAGCCTTTAGGCCACCCTCCTCCTCAGGGCTCAGGATTGGGAAGGGACTGTGTAACTTGCAGATCGAAGTAGGGGAAGGTGATGGTTTTGACGTTTTCGCGGTTTATGGTTTGCAGGTGGAGGCGGCAAGGGTCCTTAGAGATATGGAGCACAACATGGAGATGACGTACAAGACGAACAGAATAGCTGACGAAATGACCCGTAAACAAACCTTCAGGCAGAAGCAAACAGTTGTGAAGCCCTACACAGCAGCAATGGCAGCACCAATGTCAGAAAGGTTTACAGTGGCAAATCAAACCGAAAGAACTGCAGTAGCTGTGTGATGATGGGCATGGGATGGACGTCATGGGTTTTCTCTCTCAAGGCTGTCAAATCGCATGTGCGGCTCCGTGCCTGGTTTTTGCTAAGTTTTTTCTTTATCAGGTTTAGTTTCCTTTGACCATTTGCGTTGACCGCCGCAAAACAGAATGGCCGCCAAATCTGTGAGCAGTTGAGGGCATCATGAGTGCACCCGTTCTCTTGTGCCGCCATTTCTTTTTTTTGCCGCCATTTCCATTTGCCATGCAGTTGAGAACTCTAGGCCAATATAGGGCCTCGCTCCACTACTCACCAAATGTGGAAAGTGAGAACGAATCTTCCCCGAGAACGTGGAGAAATACAGTGCCATACTTTTTTGTCTTTTGTGCATGTCCTGAGTAGTGGAGCCAGGCCCATAGAACGTAAAGCCGGAGTAAGGAATTGCAGTGCTGCTGACTGTGAGCTGTACCGTTGTTCGACTTTTTAAAGGGGGGGGGGGGGGGGGGGGGGGGGGAGGCTTCCATGGCTTGTCGAACACCATTGTTCTCCTTACATATGAGTGGAGTAAAATAATTTTGTCGTTCTTTGCGTTCTGCTTGGACTCCTGGAGGCCTTTAAAGTTTAAACCACCAGCGCCTTCGGGCCTCGTTTTCCCAACCCTCAATTTTGCCCACCCGGGGCCAAGTCCCACTTACGCTGATCCTTGATTTCTGGTCGTCGATCTTCAGAATCTGCGGTCAGAAATCGATCATTCGGGTAAGTGGGACTTGGCCCCCGGAGACACCAACTGTTCTGGGGTCGGGCCTGGCGGGTGCAGCCACATGGATTAGCTTTTGCGCCATAGTTCTTTTCACGGGGAAAACACTTTTTGTTTTGAGTTTAAAAAACAACTATTTTAATGTCTTCCCTTACACAGCAACATGTACCGTACACCCATTACTTTTTTCCAGAACTTTTCGCCCCAGGAGATGAGAGCGAAAATCGCCAAAGTAGGAACACTCAGAAAATCCTCCCATAAACGGACCTAGCTCAGTTGGTACACCCACGAACTTTGAAATACGGACCCAAGTTCGAATCCCGATCCAACCAGATGAACAGAGTACAATAATTATGAATTACCCGGGACAGGTCTGCAATGATGAGATTTCAACGCCGTCGCCTTTTCAAAAGAAAAGAAGTAAAAAGAACAAAGAAAACATCTTGCCGCCTCCCCTGCAACAGCCCCAGGCCGTCGCCTTCTTGAAAGAAAGAAGAAAAAGCAAAAGACAGCATCCACATCTTACCCCCTCCCTGGGACAGCCCCATGTTAAGTCACCATTGCATCTGAGCACCAGTACATGGCCCCAGCCAAGTTGAGAGTCCAATTGAGCCCGATTGAGCCTGTGATGTTCCCCACCAATAGATGGAGCCTCTCCCCTGGTGGAAGCGGTGTCTGCTCGTATCAGCACCACTAGGCGGTGTAGCTCTATCACCAGTAGGGGGTGTTTTGTGAAAAAAAAAAAAAAAAAAAAAAAAAAAAAGAGCCTGTCCGAAAATTTCGCAGGCGTGGGTGGCCTCCAAAAACGGCCCACGGCCAACGGCCGGGATGTACTGGTGTTTTAGAAAAAGCAAATCATGCCGGGCACTGCCAGCCTTTTTCCCTCCAATATGTCTGGACCGCGATTTTGCAGCGGTTTACCTGGCGCATTGGAACAAGGTGCGAAGGAAATGCACTGCTGGTTGAACCGGCTCATTCTCGCAGGTCAGTACTGGTGATTTAAACCACCAGTACCTTTCCCTGCTTGAAAAATAAATGTCGGCCGGTTAACATGGGAGGCGGGCAGGCTTGGGACTACCCGCGCAAAATGGCTGGTGGCGCCAGCCAAAACGAGGTCCGCGCTGGTTCATTCTATTTTGGCGCGCAGGGCAGTTTTAGGCACGGCCTCGATAGCTGAGAAAGGTACTGGTGGTTTAAGAAAAGCTGTCTAGCCCCCTTACTTCTTGAGCTTTACAATTAGGGCTCCCTCCCTCAACCCCTTCCCCCACCCCCGCCCCCGCCCCCACTGCCCGCTCCTGCCCGCTCCTGATTTCTCACCTTCTCTGCCCTCTTCGACCTTTTGGTTGCTTGTCCAACAGATGAGAATTTGGGAATGAGAAATGAATAAAAGTAAAAACAAGGAAGCCTTTGAGGTGAGGGGAGGTACATCCTTCGTACTGGAAGTAATCAATGCTGCCCGTGTCAGACTGTTTCGTCGGACTTTCACCGACTCATCAGGGGAAATAATCAAAAGCATGGCTGTGTCAGATTGTTTCGTCGGACTTTCACCGACTCATCAGGAGGTTGAACCCCGTCAGTCTGCCCAGGATGCATTTGACTGATGGATAAGGACTCACCACATAGCCCAGAGTTAGCAATACCCCTGAGAAAAGTAGTTGAGTGTGTGTGTGTGTGTGTGTGTGTGTGTGTGAGAGAGAGAGAGAGAGAGCAGGTAAGTCTCCAACCTCGCAGCTGGCGTCATGGTACTTCCATCGATAGGATGAGCAAAATCAAATGAATCTACCGCTAAAACATGGAAATATATGTGTGTGTGTGTGTGTGTGTGTGTGTGTGTGTGTGTGTGAGAGAGAGAGAGAGAGAGAGAGAGAGAGAGAGAGAGAGAGAGAGAGAGAGANTGTGTGTGTGTGTGTGTGTGTGTGTGTGTGTGTGTGTGAGAGAGAGAGAGAGAGAGAGAGAGAGAGAGAGAGAGAGAGAGAGAGAGAGAGTTCTCCAGCCATGCACACAGAGAGATAGAGAGAGGATACTTCCATGGATAGGATGAGCAAAATTGGAATGAATCTTCCGCTAGAATATGGAAATATACAGCGCTTTCCACCATGCGCGTAGAGAGATAGAGAGGCTACTTCCATCGATAGATCAGCAAAATCGAAATGAATGTGGAATGAATCTTCGGCTAGAACGCCGAAAAAAAAAAAATACACTGCCACTTTTTTTTTTCACTTTTTTTTTTTTTGTGTGTGTGTGAGAGAGAGAGACACTGTGAGAAGGAGAGAGAACATTTGGGTCTCCAACCTCGCGGCTGGCCTCACACTACTTCCATGGATATGATGAGCAAAATCGAATGAATCTTATGCTAGAACATGGAAATATACACTGCCACAAATATGCCACACCGCGCCGCCCTTCGGACTCACATGGCCTCAAGCTACTTCCAAGGATACGATGAGCAAAATCGAATAAATCTTCCGCTAGAACATGGAAATATACACTGCCACACTTCTAAATTCAGTCCACAAATCTGCCACACCGCGCCGCTCCACCGTTTTCACTCTCTTTTGTGGGGGGGGAAGCCTTGCTGCTCCAAACGTGTATGGTCAATCAGCCAATCGTTGGTGGGTAGGCAGCGATGTGCAATTTGCCATTGCAAAGATGATATTTTTGTTGGTCTTAGCTTATTCTCTTGGAACCATCTGATAGGTTTTAGCATGCATATGTCAAGGTTTGCTGGCACTGCCACCTGTCCTCCACTACGTCCCGAAGGCATCTCCTGGTTCTCAGCATCCTGTACGCCGATTTTGTTTTCAAGTTGGCTAACTGCACCTCCGTCCGAGGCCCTCCCCCTCTACGGGTCGCTGAGTTACCCCACCTCCACCTCCATTCCTCTGGGTCCAGGGGCAGCTCTGCAATAGAAGTCCCAGGTTTTTTTTTTTTTTTTAACACCGCCTGCAGTGCTAGTGCTGCTGATAAGAGCAGGCATCACTAGCACCCGGGGGGAGGCTCCATCTATTGGTGGGGAGCATCACCTGCTGGAAAACGGGTCCAGCGTCCCTTACACAGCATGGATCAGGAGAATATCAGGAAACAATGATTGAGAAGGATGCCTGCCAGCATTGATTACTCTGTCGCCGGAGGATTGACTGTGCAGGTTGTTGGGAAAAGGGGATAAACCTTTTCACTCTGTTCCAAGTGCCAGATTCCTACTGCCAAGAGACTAATTCCTCCCTCTCCCAACCACCTTTTACCCTCTCTGTTTCACTCTCATGAAAGGTACAGATTACTGGAAACGGGGTCTAGCATGACATCACTATTTATAATCCTCTACTGAGAGCTAGACCTAAGGGTAACTCTCCAATCTAAGAGAAGTAGTGATAGTTGCATCGGGCGAACCGAGGGACGCCTCTTCAGTCTGCACCAGACCGCTAGATCACACCTATTACCCTAGCGGCAGCCTCCAATTCCTCTAGATGCTAGTTCTCAGACATCTCTGTATTTGCCCCATGCCACCTGTTTAGTCTGCGCCGTACTATTGCATATCCACCATTGGCAATTGGTGGGGTGGGAAGGGGTCAGGAAATTTTATGGCTGGTCGTAGTGGGATCTCATGTCCCAAAGTGGTCCAGTCTCTGAAGCAGATACGGTAGTCTCTCCTGAACTCCTCCTGGTTGCCTACCAGGGCGGGTTTTCCTTCCCATCCGACAGATGCAAATCCAACCCCCTTTCTCACTGCCCAACCAGTCTCCATAAAATTGGTGAATTGCTTGTCTTATGTCCTTTTTTTGCTGAATGATATGAATAGAGTTGGTTTTTATTTGCCATTGTACCACGAGTTCTTGTTGAATGTATTGCCTTATCATGTCCGTTGCCTCTTCCCCAATTATGCGGGCAACTTCTATAGCGTGTATACATTGTTTCCTCCATAGGGTCCACATGACCGCTCTCCTTCCTAATTTGAACATGTTGTTTTCAGTGGGGGAGGACCATGCCTCGCATAATATGGCCCGCCAGTCCCATGGCCAGTTGGAATCAGTACCCAACGGGGTTCAGATCCTATCCCACCATCGCCATGTGAGAACTGTCCCTGGGCACTGCATGAATATGTGCTCTATTATTTCAGGAATTCTGCGGGAGGGAAAGGCAGTGTGACATGATTTGCACCAGGGTAACACCCGCCCCTTCTGCTCCAGATATGTGCGATGTATCAACCAATCATTGGTGGGCAGGTAGTGGTGTTCTATCTGCCATTGAAGGGAGGCCATCTTCGCAGGCCTAGACCTTGTGGCGGTGAACCATCCGATTGGGCGGATTGCCTCAATCCCTATATTCAAGTGTGACCTTCATCGGGCTTTCACTAT